TTCCTTCCTTCCTTCCTTCCTTCCTTCCTTCCTTCCTTCCTTCCTTCCTTCCTTCCAGTATTGGAGCGCCCACAACTTCTGGAAGGAAGCCATTCCACCGATTGATCGTCCTCGCTGTTAGGAAAGTCCTCCTCGATTCCAGGTTGCTTCCATCCTCCGTTAGTTTCCATCTGTTGCTTCCTGTCCTGCCTTCTGGTGCTTTGGAGAAGAGCTTGACCCCCCCCCCTTCTTCTCTCTAGCAGCCCCTCAAATATTGGAAGATTTCTATCATATCACTCTTAATCCTTCATTCATCTAGACAAACCCAACTTCCACATTTGTTTTCCGTATGTTTTTGCACTCGTGGCAATCTTGCAAGCCGTTTTCCCCACTGCCGCAGAAGATGGGCAAAATGTGGGCAGTCCGTCCAAACTTCCTTGGGGACCTTCTGAATGAAAATCCCCGGCTCAGAGAACCCCACGGTGGAAGGGAAGAAGCTGGGGATAACTGGAAGGGGTTTTTCAATGTCTTCCAAGGCCATTCAACCCGTTCTGTCTTTTGGGGAAAAACAGCCGCCATGGTGGGAACTTGGGTTCCCAGGTTTCGCACGAGGCTGGCATCACAGGCGCCTGGCACGCCAAGCCGCCACGCTTCTCGTAACTTCAAGGCTTCCTTTGGAAACCTTCTGGCAGGGAGAAATTATTTCTCTTGTTGGGAGGAATTATTTTTCTTCTGCGCCACAGAATTTATTTCTCCTCTTGGCTCCAAAAACCCCGTCGATCGCCTTTTTCTACTCCAGGTGACTCAGGACCACAAAGCCTTCTAAGAAAAGAATTTTCACGATGACTCTCCCTGGGAGCCAGACGTCCGTCTCTACCCCCCCCCCCTCCATCCATCCCAGAAAAGTCTTGCCGCTGGTCCTAAGCCGATTCCCATGGCCATAAATCCCCCAGAAGTTATTAGGTTGACTTATTCGAGATCCCGTTTTATGAGACATTGTCTTGAAATGCTTACGCGCAGCCCCTTCCTTGCTGGATTCCAGGCCGTTTCACCCAAAATCAAAAGCAGAAGAAAAGTTTGCTGAGTTCAGGGCCACCAGGAAAAAAATAAACCAAAAAGGAAAACAAGGAGGCTGCCAGGAACTCGGATGAGATCCTGGTGGGATATTAAAAAACTTAAGAGGAGGGGTGAGGAGGAGGGGGATTGTCTGGCGGGCAAAGGAAAATAAGATTGGGGCCAGGGCCTTCCTCCTTCAGTCCAGGAAAATCATCATAAACATTTTATATAGTTTTATTTTTTAACACAGGCAAGTCTCGACTTTCAACAGTTCGGTTCGAAGACACAACAGCCCTGGGAAAAAAATATTAATGACCACTTTTTCACACTTACAACTATTGCAGCATCCCCCTGTGGTCAAGGGATCAAAATGTGGACCAGAAGTGGGTTCCTACCAGTTCGGATCAGTTCAGCCGAGGAGGTGGTACCTTGGCCTGTCCTGTCCCCCCCAACCGCTTCTATCGGCGGTGCCGCCATCTTGATTCTGCATTCGCAGAACAATATTTATGGCAAAAAATTATTATTATTTTCCTTTTCTAACATTGTGCGCGTGCGCAGGCCTTTTTAGGTGCAAATGCTCATGTGTGCGGAGCGCACAATTTTTTGTGCATGCTGAACCGGCATTAATCCTGGTAGCCGGTAGCAACTCACCCTTGATGGCGGCAACTGGCATGTACGTCCCCTGTTTTCCCTGAAAATAAGACCTCCCCGGATAATAAGGAGCCGAGGCGGCGCAGTGGTTAAATGCAGCACTGCAGGCTACTTCAGCTGACTGCAGTTCAGCAGTTCNGAGTTCTAGTCCGGCCTTAGGCATGAAAGTCAGACAGGGTGACTTTAGCCAATCACCAAGAGGCTGGGAGTTCTAGTCCTTTCTTAGGCATGAAAGTCAGACAGGGTGACTTTAGCCAATCACCAAGAGGCTGGGAGTTCTAGTCCTTTCTTAGGCATGAAAGTCAGACAGGGTGACTTTAGCCAATCACCAAGAGGCTGGGAGTTCTAGTCCTGTCTTAGGCATGAAAGTCAGACAGGGTGACTTTAGCCAATCACCAGGAGGCTGGGAGTTCTAGTCCTGCCTTAGGCATGAAAGTCAGACAGGGTGACTTTAGCCAATCATCGGGAGTCTGGGAGTTCTAGTCCTGCCTTAGGCATGAAAGCCAGACAGGGGGACTTTAGCCAATCACCAGGAGGCTGGGAGTTCTAGTCCTGCCTTAGGCATGAAAGTCAGACAGGGTGACTTTAGCCAATCATCGGGAGTCTGGGAGTTCTAGTCCTGCCTTAGGCATGAAAGCCAGACAGGGTGACTTTAGCCAATCATCGAGAGGCTGGGAGTTCTAGTCCTGCCTTAGGCATGAAAGTAGGCAGGGTGACTTTAGCCAATCATCGAGAGGCTGGGAGTTCTAGTCCTGCCTTAGGCATGAAAGTCAGACTTTAGCCAATCACCAGGAGGCTGGGAGTTCTAGTCCTGCCTTAGGCATGATAGCTAGTTGGGTGGCTTTGCGCCAATCACTAGGGGAAAGTGAATTTTAGTTTGGACCAAAGTCACCCAGTCAGCTTTCATACCTAAGGTAGAACTAGAACTCTCTGTCTCCTGGTGATTGGCCCAAAGTCACTCAGCTGGCTTTCCTGGTTCAACTGAAACTAGAACTCACCATCTCCTGGTGATTGGCCTAAAGTCTCCCAGCCGGCTCACCCTAATATAAACTCAGCATTCATCGTGCTTATTGTAGCTTCTCAGGGGGTGCCCCTTGTTGTGGTCAAGATGGGGACCCCCCAACAGTGGGATCAAAGCTCCACCTTGTTTTCAGGTGCCATGTATTCACACTGATCCGTCTGAGGGGTTTTGAGCCATTGGCGGGGAGGGTCCCTCATCCAGAAACAGACTTCAAGTCGGCTCACCGTGCGATTTTTTTCCTTTTCGCTCCAGGACTGAAAGGCGACACCGTGTCCCTTATTTTACGTGTCCTTTTCCCTCTGCAAAGTCACTACTTAACGTTGACATACACAACACGCACTCCTGGACAGCCCGGCCGGGATGCCAAATCGCATCTCCCCCCGGCTCCCAACACAAATATTAGCGCACATTACGAAAAAAAAAGTCTCTTACGGGTGGGGACAGTTGTTTATTT